ATATTTGTGTATACATACAGCGTTAGTATACACACATGGATTCCCTTGCTCTGTTAACTGAGAGAGCCAAAGAGAAATGACATCTCAGAAGCAACAAGCACACCTGCCAGCCATGTCTTGGTTTCTAATACCATTCTCCAATAAAAGGAACCAGGGCTCCCTGGATAAATGGCTCATTTTAGGGCTGGGGCAGGAAATATTCAAGATGAACCTGAAGCACGATAGAGTAACAGAAAAAAGGAAGTGCTCAAAAAAGGAATAAAAAGATGAAGTCATGTCAAAAGGACACAGAATAACTCCCAATAGCTAAGGCTGAACAAGTTGAACAAAATAGTTTTGGATTTATAACTCGAAGTATAAAATAAATACCCATAAGTCCATGTGACATAAATCGTTGAATTAATAAATTAAGGAGGGAGAAGAGACCTGTCTCCTATACAGAACAATCCCAAATAAGTTATATAGATACTTTCCCCTCAAGCAGGTGGGCCTTAATTCTTTCTTCCCCACCCCTTGAGTTCAGGGCTATGCTTAGTGAAACCCTTCCAAAGAAGAGCTTTATGAAAAAGGAGAAAAAAGTAACTGTATAGTGGAGAAACCTGATGTACATTACCTTAGCCAGGTGGTAAGTTATGTTGATAATATGCATCCTTTATGTGATGTAATGAAAAGAGCAATTCCTGTGGTCTTCCTCTCCCAAAAGTCCATAATCCCAGTCGAATCATCAGAAAATCAGACAAACCCAAATAGAGGGATATTGAAAAACAGTACTTGACCAGTACTCCTCAAAATTGTCAAGGTCACAAAATGCATGGAAAGTCTGAGAAACTGTCGTAAAAAAGAGGCGCCTAAGGAGACCTGATGAGCACATACAATGTCATATCCTGGATAGGATCTCCGAACGAAAAGATATTAGATAAAAACTAGTGAAATCTGAATAAAGTGTGGTGTTTAGTTAATAGTAATGCACCAGTGTTGGTTCCTTGATGTGAAAAATATACCACAGTAATGTAAGATGTTAACAATAGAGGCAAGTAGTGCCGGTGATTCATGAACTCTTTGCAAACTTTTGTGAAAATCTAAAACTTTAAGATAAAAAGTTTATTTAAAGTAAGAGCATAATGTGTTTAAGTGTAATTTGATATTCCGGATTGCATCTTGGAACTGAAAAAGGACACTAGTGAAAAAACTGATGTATATGAAGAAACGCTGGAGTTTACTTAATAGTAATATACCAGTGTTGGTTTCTTAGTTTTGACGAATGTACCAAGGTAATGTAAGATATTAACATTAGGAGAAACTGGGTAAGGAGTATGTGGTAAACTCTATTTTCTTTGCAACTTTTCTGTAAGTTTAGTTATTCCAAAATAAAAATTTTATTAAAAAATATAACGCACGGTAGCTGGATGTACAAGCAAAATCTATTTTACCATGCCCCCCCCCTGCCCCGCCCCAGCTGGCCCTACTGTAGAGATCTGAATGTATTTCATGTGCACGGCTCTACATCAGAAAAGTGGCTTTGGTTAAAAGGGGGAACCTGGTCCGCCAGGAGACTAGATAAAGCAAATCTAGAGAACAAAACAAAATGGGTCAAACTTAAGAACTCAAGTGAACAGGACAGCAGTTGGGGAGAAGTCATCTGTTAAACACAAGTTAGCTCAAAACAGAAGACTGTTAAGATTTTGGGGGGAAATAAGACGATTCTAGGCTGGGAGGAGTGGGCAAGACACTAGGGAAAATGTTGACAGAGTGGGTGCTCCATTTTGTCTTACCTATGGTTTACTCATAAACTTTTACCCATATCACCCTTGCTACTTATACTATTTAGATTAACAAAAATTGGCCTGAGAATCAAGTGGCTGCCATGTATTACTAGGAAGGGTAGAACAGACGGGTTAGGGCAAGAAGGGGCATTTCTAGGGTCACAGCCCCGACGGTTCCAAGCCTCTTCCTTGTTTCTGTGGCCATCTTCTCCACCGGACTGTGAGCTCTTCTGGCACGGGGATGGTGCCTTAGTTTTTCTTGTCCCAGCAGTGCTCTTTACATAGTTGGTGTCCAATAAACATCTGCTTAATAAGTAAGGCAGGAAGCTAGAAACCAGTGAAGCTTGGGATGTTTTTTCTTGGGAAAACTTATGGGGAAACATTAAATCCCAAAAGTGTCTTTACCTTGAATCCTCATAATAATTAAGATACTTAAAAATATTCTGGTAGCTTGAGTCTTTCCTATCAGTGAGGGAGATCTGGCCTCTGACTCTCAAAATTATACAAGTGAAACTGGAATTTGGGGGATGGATATATTAAGTTAAACATACATTACAAAGACTAAAAAGCCATTGCCCAGCTGTATAATTTGACCAGAGAAAACGGCATGCTAAATTATGCTGAGTCATTCATATTTAAATTCCAACTGAGGTAAATAAGACAAGGAAAAAAGGTTCAATATAACTCTTCAAAGAGCTTTTAATGAAATGCAGTTGTAAACCTGTTAATCTAGCACAAGGGTCAGCAAACTGTGGCTCGCCAGCCACATGTGGCTCTTTGGGTATGTACATGTGGCTCTGAAGTAAAACTGAAAATGAAAATAAAACTATCAGTTTCATTTATAAAATTTTTAAAGGATATTATTCACATAGTGGTGATTTCATTTGTTTTATAGGTCTCACAACGCTTTGAGGGACAGGATTGGCTCTTCCGTCTCAAAAGTCTGCCGACTCCTGATCTAGCACATCTCAGCCTGCCACACCAAGTCCATGATGAAATTTTCACCAAAGGAGAAACTGGAAAATAAGGTAATAGGCTTACTTTTGACAAAAGCTAGTTTTATTTACCGTAAAGGACTGTCCGTTGCTCTAAAATGATAAGATGGGCTTGCCTTTTTTTTTGGGGGGGGGGCGTTATCTAGGTGGGCACTCAGGCATTTGGGAGAGGCAGTGAAAAATTGTGTTTGTTGAGTACACCTACTGGCTAAATGCCAAACTTTACATATACACAATTTCTCAGTAAATCTTTACAATTTCAATTAGGTATTCTCATATTACAGAGAAGAAAATGTAAATTAATATATGATAAATAGGTCGCCCAAGGAATGTGCTAATGGAGGGAACCAAATCCAAGTTTATTCTATTCTAGAATCTGTGCATTTTCCTATAATTCCATACCACTTATTATAGTGAGTTTTGATACTCATTTTAGGGAGAAGTATTGTTCAGTTTTTCTTCGTATACATCTTGATGCTACCTTTTCAAATTCACTTTCTGACTTTTAACTTTGCAGTGTATTTATATAGCGAGAGCAAACATTTTAAAAACTAAACTTAGAAGTGGCAGTATTATTCTTGCATCCCAACTATTTTTTGCCTTTTTGTTCAATAAACCACATAAAACCTATCAGGAAATATCCATATGGCAACACCATGGTTATCTGCAGATGAAATGAGGGCACCACAGCAGACTACAAGGCCCCAGGCTGAAGTCAGTGAAAGCCGAGCTCTCTCAAAGAGCTGAAGACATCAAGTTGTTTGAAACACTAGACCGAGGGTCGGCAAACTTTTGAGAGGGAAGAGCCGCAAGGGGTCAGCAAACTGTGGCTCGTGAGCCATAGGCTCTGAAGTAAAATTGAAAATGAAAATAAAACTATCATGGTTTCATTCATAAAATTTCTAAAGGATATTATTCACATAATGGTGATTATGTAAAAATATATTTATGGCTCTCGAATACTTTTTAAATGGCTGTGAGAGACACGATTGGCTCTTCAAGGGGTCAGCAAACTTTTGAGATGGAACGTACCCAAAGAGCAGCATGTGGCTCGCGAGCTGCAGTTTGCCGACCCCTGCACTAGACCAATCACACTGCCATCCAGACCTTCAGACTAAAGAAACTAACTGGCTAGAAAGCTAATAGCATAACAACTCTCTTTGTCAGGTAGTGAACGGAAGAATGAGCAGAGAGATGGGGATAGGGAGAGGAGGGGAAGAAGAGAGTACAGCACTGGCAAGAGGAAAAAGCAGCATAGGTGTAAAACGAAGGTAAACTATATGCAATTAACTAAAAACTCCAAAATACTCCAAGACCATGCTGATTATCATGGATATGATCATGGCTCCCCAGCTTCTCACTTACATACTGAAAACAAATGCAGTAAAGAACATAAAGCATATAGATGAACTCTTAGCAGTGTTCATTTTAGAACTAAAAAAAAAAATTTTTCCCTAAAGATATGTAGCTAATGCATTATACTATAGAAGTCTGAAATTTGGTCTTATGCTTGCTGAAAATCAAATTATAAAACAAGACTGTTTTTCTTACATTCCTCAAATTACTGAAGCCATCTGAAAATAAAGTTACATGTTTAACAAATGTTGGCGACCAACTTTTAATAATACATATTTAATTTTCAGAAACATATGCTAACCATCAACAACATGATAAGGGTTCCAATGCCCCAGATGTTATTTCATTGGTATATTATATCAATATGTACAAAGGCTTTCAAATTCAACCACAAAAAACAGCTTAGTTTTTAAAACTATAATGCTTAAAAAAAATGTAAACAGTTCATTTTTACATTATTGTAAAAAAGAAGACTCACTCCTTAATACGGCTTAATTTTTTAAATGAGCAAAGCCTGGTGCTCATGGATAAAGAATGAAAAGAATTCTTTACATAGAAACATTGTGCTCCAGTGTGGCAAAAAAAAAATTATATATACACATAAAAAGGAAAGAATCTTAAGTCCACAATTTATACCACACACACACACACACACACACACACACACACAAATCTTGTCCCCAAATTGAGAAATTTATAAAAACCATTTATACATGGTTGTTGACCTATGGAAAACCTATATAACATTTTATTTTTTTAAATTTTTTTTTTTAGCTGAGCCATCCTGCCACCTGTTGGCAGCTCAGCTTGGGCTGTGAATCGAACCAGTGACCCTGTTGCTCAGAGCTTGCACTCTTCAGTGAGCTCTTATCCAACTGAGCCACTCGGCCAGCCCCTATATAACATTTTAAAAACAATAACTCAGTCAAAAGATACCACTTTTCTTAAAAATGAAATTTTGTGCAAAAGAAATTGTTTAAGCTAGAAACAAGACTCCTTCCCCAATAAGAGGCCAAAAGAGCCACTGAAATAATTTAACTTTGTTAAGATTTAGTGCATGTAACCAAAAGGCACACACATGTGATTAATATATTAATATTTTCATGCAGAAACCTGTGCATGTTCACAATTATATAAGAAAAACACAAACATAAGAAAACGTAAAGCTTAATGTTTGGCAATGTTATTCTAGCCACATTCCTTTCTCGTCTATCAGTTCAGGGTTTACTAGATCATTAACACTGCCTCTCAAAAAATATATTATATTTGAACAACTTCTAATAAAAATTAAAAAAGATGTTAGCCTGAAACACTAATATTTTTTTCAGCTCTGATACATACAGAAACTTACTGATAGGTTTATTTTAAATGGCATTTAAAATTAAGATACATTTTTCCTTTTGTTAATAAACACTTTGATTGCTCCAGTGAAGTCAGCAGAGAGAAGAACTTCTGTGTGATCTGTCTTCATAATACCTTAAAAGCATAAAAAATAGTTTTAGTTGATTTAAAAAAGTGTATGAAGCCTGCTGCCACAATCATCATATGCCCATGACGTTTGGTGCAAAAGAGTCTCTCCACCTTTTTCATCTCTTTTCTGGCTCACTCCTATAATCCTTTCATCCTCCTGTACCTCTCCTCCTCTCTGAGGCTCACTTCCACTTACCTTATCTTAGCGAGGGAGATTCCAGTCCCTTGGGGCCTGGAGGTCTGCATTTATTCCCAGGCAGCCTTGGCCTCTATGTTGTCTAATGCTTCATTTTTTGTCAAGAGGCTAGCATGTTATTCAGCCCCAGGACTGCAATGCTGGCAGGATGGGATCAGATGGGCAAGTCTACTGTTAACAGGGTTCGCTAATGAGGCTGATGTTTAAGGTTTACTGTACAGCACACATACTACAACTGCCATGAAATAAAGTACACACGATTGATCTGTGAATGCTGCCAGCACCTTTTCCCTTTACAGTCCGTATTGATGAATTACGTAGCTATGATGAATGGCAAAAACATTTACATTTGCCAGTAAAAGCATTTAACGAACAAAATTTAGCATTTAATAACTCTATTATGCATAGGCAAAAGTTGTAGATTTAAAGACTGATTAGTAAGGAAGAAAATAATCCAAACTTAACTGGAAAGTTGTGTACAGGATGAGCCAGACAAAACGGTTTCACTTAGATTTGCTAAAAACATATTCTAAGCCTTTAAACATTCCTTACTACCCTTTAGACATATCTCAAAGTCGTGCTATGCAGCAGAAGCAGCAGCAAAGGATTTGGGGATATGAGAAAGGCGGGAGAAGAAAATAAATCATCATATACATATAAATACTTTATAAGATACAATAAGAACGAAGACGATAATGATAATGTCTACTACATGCCAGGCATTTTGCCAGGAGCTTTATATATGTTCTCTTCAATTCTTATCACAACTTTGTAAACTAGGTATTATCATCATTTTACACGAGGAAAATTAAAGTTTACATTGTCAAATATGTCAAGAATAATGAGAGAAAGAGCAATTGGATATATTTTATGATCTCATACCCTAGGTTTAAAAGTTTATTCTCAGATTATACCTAGACAGGCACAAAACAGCAAACACAAGTCTGAGTATGATCCTTTAAAAGCTGTGCCTCTTTCAAAAGGACCCAGTGAATTAACTGAACTTTTTTAATATGGGGTACAGTTTTGACAAGTTTAAAGAAAAGTACTTAAAAAGTACTCTTCATTTTTCCTCAAATTGTTTTAAAAGCTAGAATTTTCTGTAGAATGTATAGAGGAAATGTATAGACTGTAAAAATGTATCACTGGGGAAAAAGAAAAGGAAAAAACCCAAATGACTTAAGTTAGAAGAGAAAACCTGGATTTGATTTTGAGGGGAAAAAAAAGGAAATGAAAAGAAATATTTCCAAACAGGCAATTAGTAAAGGTTTAATAATTCTGAGTCGGTTTATTTTCAAATCTTGTAACTGAAAGAAGTGCTAGACTGAAGTTCATCTTTGCTATCCAAATTTTTCTTCACAGACAGAAGTAGTATATTTAGTGCAGTGTACAGTGCAAATAATACCACAAGGGAAACTATCTGAGGTTAAATGAAATAAAAATACTTGAGAATGTTTAAGCACTCAAATACTTTTAGAAGCACCTTTCATACACTGTAACTACTCTTGTGACTTTATAAGTCTCTAATAGGCCTGGCTGTAGTCTCTAAAGTGAGAAAACACATTTAATGAACTATTCTGCAATTGATTTTAATACAAACTTGTTTTAACAACTGGTCCAAATTTACATGATTCTACCACGCTCTTAAGTACTAACAGGGACCATTTTTATATAATTGGCACTCAATACTACTTGGTTTCCTTTCACTTCCTAACGTGAGTGCTTTATATTACTGGAATTACTACTCATTCTCAAAGCATATGCTGCAAATGGCAAGAAATTACAGGCTTGTAAATAGCTACCTACGAGAAACCATAAATTTGTGGCAAGTAGAAAAGAACACTGCTTTCATTTTGGTTTAACCCATTTATTCAGCAAATGTTTTTTAAGCACCTACTGTATGTAGGCAAGCACCATCTAGGCACTGGCACTACAACAAAGAAGACATATAAAGTCTCTACTCACAGAAGTTACAGTTTAGTAGAAGAGACACATAATAAACTTTATATTTGCATGTCTTATTTATGTTTCTCCAAGGAGAGCAGCTGTCCATAAAAAAATTATGAATTTTCAAATTTTTCGTTTTTAATTCCCAGGTTAATTTCAAAGAAGTAAAACTTGCAAGAACTATGTCACTGAAATGTTTAGAAACAGATATCTGACAAGCATTAAGTTGTCAACAAAAAATATTTTTCATACTCATGAAAACCTCATGATACCCAATACTAGGTCAATAAGTCTACTAAAGGCTGACTAGAAAAAATGTAGGACAAATAAAATATGAGTACCTACCAGAGGGCATGGTATCCAAAATTTCAGCGTCTTCACCTTCTGGTTTTTCAGATTGCACATCCAAAGACAACATCAAACTTGGGTTTGGAGCAAAGATGGCCGATGTAACAACTGCATTATGTGCTGGGGGAAAAAATAACTTCAGAATAACTCAGAAATTTAATTCTAAACATCAAGACAAAGAGTGTAATATGCAAAAAATATACAACAGTGTTTGGTACATGTAAATATCTTTTAAAACTAACAAATAAGTAACGAAGAAGTAATTAAAACCCCCAAATATTTTCTTTAATAAATGCCACACGTAAGTTCTGAGATTTCAACGCTTCTCAAATTTTAGGCAAATATAAGTTCTTCCTTGGTATAGAAAAATTGAACAAAGCCAAACACAAAGCATAAAAAGTTATAACTGCCAAACTCTCTCTTTCAAATAATGCCTATACAAATTTACTTCTAGTACATATCCACTTTAGCTTTATTCACTAATAAAGGATACACAAAAGTAGGCATTTACGTACCTTTAATACCTTCCCAAAAGTCATTACGATCTCTCCTGACTGAAGTAAACTTGCTTAGGTCATGGTAAGTACTCCAGATATAAACATACTTATCTTCGGAGCCGCTTACGAGGTAACTAAAATCATGGCTAAATTTGGGGAAGAAAAAAAAACTCAAAGTTTTTTTTTTTCTTTAGTTTCCCCTCTATCAGAACTTCCTACTTTAAAATACCTAAGAAAATACCCTGGAGAGCTTGTTGAAATACAGACTCCTAGTCTCACTCCAGAGGTTCTGACCATGTAGTTTTCACATGGGGGTCAGAGGAATTAGTACTTGTATCAAACCCCTAGATTACTGTCCTGCTGCTTAACCCACACTGGGAGGAACACTTCCTTGGGAGATGAAAGGGAGAAGCAGAGTATTTTACCAATTAAATTACTGGGTAATTACAGTAGCTCCCCATAATTCATGGGGGATATGTTCCAAGACCCCAAGCAGATGTCTGAAACTGCAGATAGTGCTGAGCCGTATACGTACTATGCTTTTTCCTATACACACAGTCATGTGCCATGTAACCATCTAAGATTGTGTAAGTGAACTCTATGATGTTCCCACAATGAGAAAATCACCTAGCAACGCATTTCTCAGAATGTATCCCCATCTGTAAGTGGCGCATAACTATACGTAATATGATAAAGTTTAATTTATATGTTAGGCATAGTAAGAGATTAAGAACAACAGTAATAAAATAGAACAATTATAACAACATACTGTAATAAAAGTTATATGAATATGGTCTCTCTCTCAGAATATCATACTGTACTGTACTGTACATACAACCTGGATATGCTGGATACAAGGATGAGTCAAGTCCTGGGTGGGATGGCACAAGATTTCATCACACTACCCAGAATGGCATGTAATTTAAAACTCATAAATTGTTAATTTCTGAAATTTTCCATTTAATATTTTCGGACCATGGTTGACCATGAGTAACTGAAACCGCAGAAAGCAAAACCACTGATAAGGGAGGGGGGACTGCTGTACTGGGTAATCAAAGAAGAAAGGAGAACTGGTAAGAAAAGGGCTGAAAGAATGAGGGATATAAAGAAGAGGCAGATAATTCAGAAGAGCCTCCAGATCCTTAAGAGTTCAAATAATAATGATATGGAAAGGTGGAAATACAGGACACTGTACTGTAGGGCGTGGACATGCTTTATTAGCTTCTGTACCTAAAAGGATTAAGACCATAGGTGGGGTGGGTGGTAAACCTCCTCCTAAAAACCTCACATAAAAGTACAAAAGCACAAATCTGGGAGCTAGGAGTCTTCTAATCCCAGCTCTGTACTGACCACTGTGACTTTAGGCAAATTACTTAATTTTCTGGGTCTTGGTTTCTTCATCTGCAGAATAGGAGTAATTCTAACTCTATTTACCATACAGGTGTCAAGTATTGCATGATGATAACATGAGATACCAGTTGTAAAAGTACGAAGAAACTAAAAGCATTACATAGACATACGGCCTAGATCAATGGAAAATGGGAGGAAAGGAGAAATGTTCTGATCTTTTTTGGGAATTTCTCATTGCCGTTTACCTGAAACTTGCTTTGATCTGGCTGCTGCTGTTGACATAACCCTTATATTTCATGGACAGTGACAAATCTCTAAGATCATATAGTCTGATTCTGGAGTCATTTGAGGTTACCAGTATCTAAAAATAAATCAAGGGAAAAGTAAAAAGTATAATCTTTTAATCTAAGTTAAGCTATAATAAAAAAAGTGTCTATACACATACAGAATACATCTCAAAACTAGAAAAAGCAGTATGCCATAGGAAAGGGAATATAATCGTAGCCAAGATATTAAGAGCTAACTTTCAGGAGTCTACATATAGTGCAGAGAGTGATGATTTTGAATAGTTAGTACCTTATTTTCTCCAGGTAAAGGCTCAATGCCAGTAATTTTTCTTCCAACCTTGTTGCGCCCTCTGGTAGATCGGACATGTATTTGTGTGTGGTATTTCAAATGCTAAAAGAAATTGCAAATTTAAAAGATCAGAATTAGAAGGAAACTCAGAGATTATCTGATCCAACTCACAGCCAGACATGGTATTATTTGCCCCAATTTACAGATAGGGCAGTTAACGTGCAAAGAGGATACAACAACTTATCCCAAACCACAAAAATGTTTTACTATGTATTCAAGTACGTATTGGGTTGACGGAAAAGTCATGATGTATTTTTTTCTAAGTTTGTCGTTGCAAAAATGTGTCATGACTTTTCCGACAACCCAATAATTTACACAAGATAGTCATTTACCTCTGTATCATAGAAAATACATCTGCCATCATATGTCCCAATTACTGCATATTTGCCATTCTGACAGAAATTTGCAGCTGTGATCAATTTTGTTTGACCATCTACTTCATTCCACAAAGCCACTTTTTTGTCAGGTATGTTCCAAAGGCGGAGCTTTCCATCTAATGATCCACTTAGAAAATACCTGTCATCCTAAAAATGCGACAAAAGAGAAAGCTTTCATTTTATCCCATCAAGAAAAACTCATTAGCAAATCAATATTAAATCTATTAGAAATATTTAAAATATGTAGTTCTCATTTAAAAAGTATTAAAGTATTCTTCAAGTAAGCATTATTTTATTCACTAAAAATAACAAGTAGAAACTTCAGAATTCAATTTGAAGGAATGACATTCTGATCGCTTTATCATATCCTTAAACTGCTTTTCCCGAACTATGGATGTTTATAGATAATATGTTGGAGTGTATCTTGTGTAGGAGAAGGGTTCTGTGATCAAATAAGTTTCAAAAATTCTGGGTTACAGAAAATTAAACAAGATTCTCAGTTAACACTCATTCTGTATCGCCAAAAGGGGTATAAAATAGGTAGTGTTTTTCAGCCTATTTAACCATGAACTTCTTCTGTGGAGAGTTGGTAGGGGGTCAGGATAGGAACATCTAGCAGGGCTAGTACCTTCAAGGAACATGCTTGGGGAAAAACTATCCTGTAATGATACATTTGTCCATAGACTTCTCTAGGACACATGTAACAGTTGGATAAAAGAGTAATACCAGTTGGCCCACAGAACCAGTCAATTTTTGGAACTCTGACACCATGTCAGCAGAGAATTGCTTCGCTAATCAAATTCTCAATCTCAAACCAGGGTTCTCCACCAGGGGCACTCTGGCCCAACAGGGGACATCTAGCAATGTCTGGAGACTTTCATGATGCTCATAACTTGGGGGTGGGTGACATCTAGTGGGTAGAGGCCAGGAATGCTACTCAACATCCTACAATACCCAGGACAGCCTTCCCTTCCTGGATGACAAAGAATTATACAGCTCAAAATGTCAATAGTGTTAAGGTTGAAAAATCCTGCTCTAAACTACACCAGGCCTACCACTAAGCTGGTCTAACTTCTGGTAACATAAGCATCAAATACAAAATAATTGGGATGCCAAAACAAGAAACAGTCTCTTCTCTGCTCAAGATTATTCTTCTTAACCCTACCAGACCCCTGTACCGATTTTTCGGTAATTTCTAATCATATCTTATCTAATCATATCTGTATTGTGTGCATGGAAAAGCACTCCTATTTTCTACAATGTCTCCAAGTTCCATCTTATTCTAACCACTTGTTTGCATGTAACTAACATTTTTCTATATCATGTTGGTTTTTTCTCTTTAATGCTCAGGAGCACAGGTATAGGGGACAGTTAGGTTCAGGGCCTCAGGTCTGGTAGGGTTAACCACCTCTGAAGCCCATCAAGGATAACCTGGGCATTTTTATGGCTATGCTATAGTAGGCTTGACTCAATGTCAACCAGCAGAAAAGCTTAACAAGTAAAAATACTTCATCTGGCCTTACAACTCAGAATTTTATTTACATACATACATACATACATACATACACACACACGTGTGTATTCGTGTATGTGTGTGTATATATGCATCTGCATTTTGCTATTTCCTATACAACTCTGCCATCTTCCTTCCAGATAACGTTTAACAGAGTCATATTTCCTAAGAAAATGTCAACATCACCCCATTCTTCCCTAGAACGTCTGAAAAAACTCCCCAGGTCAGTACAATTTTTAGAAATAGGTCTTTTCAGTTTCCAAAATAAAAGTATAGAAAACTTATTGACTAAAAAGAAGCGTTAATAATAATGTACTACATAGATAACTATCACCACCTAATACCTCTCTCATTCCATTCCAATACGTTATAGTTAAAATAGAGGTAGAGGGAAGGATTTTTCTCACAGTTGCTGACAGGGGTAAATCCATCCTTTTACCGCAATCTAGGGTGACAGGTGGAGGTGTTATTCAAAAAGAAGCATCGAAAGGCCTGATGGTTACAACTGATGAGGTATTAACATAGATTAAACATTTTTTAATTTTCAAAAGTTTTGACCAAGTCTTCTAAGAGTTCAGAATTATTTATGTTTTAAGCTTGACCAGGGAGGAAAATTCTATTGAGGGGAACAAAATGTCATTCTTTTCTCTTAATCTGGGGAAAAAGAGGAAGAAATGTGACTATAATAAAAACATTTCATTAAAAAGACGATAGAGATGAGAACATAATTGGAGATGTAATCATAACATCAACACAGGGGAGAAAAAGTAATCATACATCAACTATGGTCAACTCAAGCCCTCCAGTTATTTAAATCTAGGTAGTGGAGTAGAACTAACATGTGACTTCCCTGGGCTTATAGAATAGTTGCAAAGAATTGAAACAAATTTAGCCTTATGCATTTGGTGTCTCTATCCTATAAGGACACAAGATAGGCCTGCAATTCCATGATAGCAGACTTTTCTTCTTTGGTTGATATCATATGACATACTTTCTTTCCAGAGGGAAGATACTAATGAATTTTCTACATTGAAAATTAATAAGGGATCTTAAGATTAACAATGTTGCCATACATTAAATAGTTCAGCTTTATCCTGTAACAAATGTTGTTCTTTGCCTCTTTCAGCTTTTTCCTTTGTCTCTTCCCCTTCCCAACCCTCCTCCCACAACTATACCAGCCTATATAGTCCCTTTCTCATTTATCCACCTGTTGCTGTCTTCTCTTCTGTCACCATTCCCATTATCTCATATCTTTAATAGGATTGCTTTCTTCATTTATACCCTGCACGTCTTTTTGAAAATTTGGGATTACTTTTTCACTGTCATATTTAGAATATAACATTTCCAGTTCTTCTAATGCAGATTAGCAAAATATGTATTTCCTTTCTCATTTTTAAAGCAAAATGAAACATTAAATTAAGCTGTCCTTAACTATGTGGCTGTTAATCATTTTTTTTTCCTGTAGTCCAATTACCCTCCAGGGAAACCTGGTTCCCTCACTTTCCTTATAGTATAATAAAAAATGTATAAACAATTACTTACTCTTGGATGGAAAGCTATGGCAGTGACAAAATCTATATGCTGAAAACAGCAGAGGCATTCTCTTCTGGAAATATGCCATAACCTGACTGTTTTATCCATCGAAGAAGAAAGCAGAAAGTAGTTCTATGGAAAAATTGCCATTGATTATTTTATCATCATGTGGAAAAAAAAACTACTTATACAATAAAAGTGAACTTTTGGTTTTATGTACCTCAATAGTTTTTTTATTAGTATTGTTACATGCAGCATCAGGAAGAACAAAAGATTATCCAATTAACTTGGAAGATCCCATTTTTTCATCACCCAGGAGCCAAACATCTATGTGTCAAAAGCTTCTAACTGGCAGAAGCTCTTTAATTTCTAAACACAATCTATTTAAGGGAAAAACTACGAGTTATACTGAAGTAGAAAACTCAAATGAGACCCTAGTATTCTTTGGTATGCGTAAAGGTGCTAAACAAATTGAAGTAATGATTACATTGGTTGAGTACTTAATGCACTAAACGTTGCTCTTAGCACTATACAGCAATCATATGAAGTAGGTATATTATTATTCCCTTTTACAAATGAGAACACTGAGGCAGAGAGGTTAATAATTTGTCTATGACTACACAGCTTGTCAGTGGCAGACTGGGTAGTCTGGCTCTAAGGTCCAGGCTCTAACCACTACACATTCTGCATAGTGCTTACGTAGAACACATGTTACAGAAACAACAAGATGCTCTGTCATTTACTCAAAGCAATAAAAGAATGTTATATCTTTAAATATAAGTAGACTAAGCATAAATAATGATTTGGATATGTAACTGTATGCTGCATATATGTTATCTGGGCTAGTATAGAAAGTGTACATTTTATGTGGTGTACCTGGTTTTAAATAGATGGTACACCTCACAATTAAAAAATCAGAATTTTGAAAGATTTACAATAACTTGTGAAACATCTAATAACAATTATTTTTATTTTCAAGATCTACTCAGCTCTAGAAAAGTTTTGAAGAGTATATGCAGTTTACATTTCCTGTTGATTCATAACAACTATGTAAAAACTAAATCTATGGTCTGCTATGCATTAAAACTAACTTTATTCAGTTCTTGCAATAGTCCATCGCTGTAAGCACATAAAAGAAATATAAGGACATCCCTAAAAATAAAGATGCTTGAAGACATGTTAAGACTTGTTTTACTATGCCAAGAGATTTCTGTTGAATAAATACTTATTAAATAAGTGAAATTAAATAATTTTCTTAAACTGAGCATGATCTTGGGAGTCAAAGAAATTACATTCAAATCTAAGTTCTGACCATAACTAGTTTTGTGATGTTGGATGGGTCAGAGGCTCAGTCTTCTAAACTACAAAATGAAATATTGTCTACCTCACAGGGTTATTATTGGAAGAATTAACAAGATAATTCTTGATACCTGCTACAAAATAAGTTTTCAACAAACAGAAAACCCACTATAAACATCAATTTTGCTGGATACTGAAGAGAAACAATAGTAAAATAAGATCTGCTCCCTACTCTCAAGGGGCTTAGAATCCTGTTGCAAACAAAACCTAGAATTGTACATACTTGTAGGTAAACAATTAAGTAAAAAAGAAAGTTTACGAAAAGAGCATACAGGGCTGGCCAAGTGGTGTGATGGTTAAGAACTGGCTTGGGACACCAGAGGGCCCCGGTTTGGATCCCACATATGAGGGCCAGTGACACTGCCCTCCACAGCTAAGATGCTGAACAACAGCTCAACCTGGAGCTGGGCTGCCCTGAGTCGCCGGCGATGACGACGTAGGCTGCAGCTCCTGTGGCAGTGGGTTGCCATGGGCTACCGTGTGTAGCCAGCAGCCAGCATGAACAGCCAGCAGCCGCAGTGAGTGGCTGTCCAGAAGCCAGCGACTGATCTGCCTCGCCCGGGAAGAGCGCCATGATGGTGCCAACTTGGGCTAGTGAAGCAACGTCCTCCACAACTAGACTGAAGAACAAAACGACAGCAACTTGTCTGTTCCCCTTCCCCCAATTCCCCAGCGCTGTTCCCATCCTCCAATTCCCCAATAAAAATCTTTAAAAAAAAAGAGCATACAGATAGATGAAGGCCTTAAGAACAAAAACAGGTTTCCCAGAGAATAAATTCTGCCTTAAGTGTGACTCCTGCCCTACAGATTTCAAACTTGCCCACCCCCACAATTGTGTGAGCCAATTCCTTAAAATAAACCTCCTAAGTATGTGTATTTCCTCTTGGTTCTGTTGCTCTGGAGAACCCTGACTGATACAGTGGTCAATGGAAATTTAATTTCTTCTGGTTAGTGTGACATTTCAGAAAAAATATTGGTTTGCTTTAAGAAAGTAAAATGAATGCAAGGTTCCCAATTATGTGTTTTGTACTTCTTGTTCCAGATGAATATGATTATCAGATTAAGGACACTTTAGATTTCCATCTTCTCTGACAACCCAGTCAGATTTCACACAGAATGGGGAAGGAGTACAAAGACACAACGAAGGCTCCATTTAAAACTTGACTACCATGTGAGGCCCAAGCTTCTTCCAGGAGGTTAGAGAAAGACATTATGACAGATGGGTTATGAAAAGCATCCTGAACTTCTAAACAAGTAAGACAGGAGCAGCAATTTATAAATGAAGTGATTCAGGCTGGCCGGTTAGCTTAGTTGGTTAGAGAGAGAACTCTCTACGTGGGCCACTGAGATGCGCCCTCCACAAGTAGACTGCAACAACTACTTGACTTGGAGCTGATGGGTCCTGGAAAAACACACTGTTCCACAGTAAAAATAAAAAAAAAATAAAAAAAAATTTTAATGCTTAAAAATAAATAAATAAATAAATAAATAGATGAAGTGATTCAAAGCTGGAAGTAGAGAAAATCTGACTTGCCAATATATAACAGCGATATCTTTGTGGTACATGAGATTCTCCTGACATAGTTAAAATATATGGGCATCACCAGTATCCCTGATAGTCTTTTGTTAACTCAGGTGACTTCTCAATTTAAGGCTTTAAATATTATTTTCTCTCCCGGATTCTTAACATATTTTAGATTCTTATTAATGACCAATTTTAGTACAAAAAAGTGTAAGGCATCATGCAAAAATTCCAAAAACTGCTTCCTGCTTTAAAGACCTTAAACCAAATTTAAAATAGCTCTTTAAGTTTTCACAAAACTGTGAAAATATTTGGTCAGTGGCAATACAGCCTCTCTACTTCTGAAACAATTTTGCATTAAGGGGGGAAAAATCACAAAATGAAGATTTATCATTGATTGGTAAAATATAATTGTTAGACCCAAGTTAATAATTTTACGATTGCAGCACATCAGACCCAAAGCAGTCTTGATAAGATAAATAAAATTCACCTTTGTAGTTGAAGTCATATCCATCTTGCTAAGTGAGGATACTTTGGAAAATTACTTTATAAAGAGGCAAAAGGAACAGTATACAGACAGATCCAGATAGAAGCTGTTAAGTAATATAAAGTGAACATTTCCTTATTAGCCTAACCTGACATTTTTTTAACTTTAATTTGTAAATAACTCCCATAAAGTATATATGAGCATTCAAACATTAGACAATGTGACAATCATACAAATAAAACATTTGTTTTCCTCCTAAAGTCATAGTTACATAGACTTAATACACAATTCAAATATGAATTTCTTACTTTAGACCATGAAAGATCAAGGAGATCAGCAGTATGTCCCTTATATTTGCAAAATGGCCGTTGTCGAAATGGTGCATTTTTATCATCGGGGTCTTCATCAGCTCCACCGCATACCTATTTAGACGAAGACAAACATTAGCAAAATTAAAGCTTCACTCTCTTTCTGTCCCATCCATTCTCTCATCATTGTGTACTGATGCTTGATTGAAATCTTGATGCACCAAAAGCAAACTCCCCTTTATGCTGAATTTCCTAATTACCTCTTCAGCTCCTTGATCTAAAAATATTAATAACAAACCAGGATCTTCCCTGAAGACCTTGTGCTACCAGTCTTTTCCTGCCAGAGCCCCCACTTTGTCCTTTTCTGAGCACCTGTTCCTTCAGAAGAGGTAGGAGCCAGCACCAGGGGATGATCATGACCGGTTTAAGCTAATCAAAACGAGCTCACTCCCTTTCCCAGTGATGAGCAGTTTAGGCATGGGCTCGTGCTACAATTTTCATCAATTAGACAGGAGGGAAAGTTTTTTGGGGGTGGGAGGGAATAAAGGGAGGCTCGAGAAAGATTTCCTCCTTCTTAAACAGGGGCATACTAAAAGGGACCTTCCTCTTTCTTACCTCTGAACACTGTTGTCTGCATGTGACACCTAGGAGGGCAGCAAGCATTGTAGGACCATGAGAGGAACCAACCCAAGAGAACAACAGATAAAGAATAGCAAAGCAGGAGGATGGTAGGACCCTTTTTCCCTGATGACACTACTGAGTTGCTGAATTAGCCAACCCTGGAACCACCTCACCTCCAGACTTGTTTCCTCATTATTTAAGCCATTTGCAGTTGGATTTCTGTTATTTGAACTCAAAAGCATCCTGACAGAGGTAGGTAGAAAGTAATGCCATTCTTGTGTGCCGTGCACATTTAGTTTACAACATACTTTTTTTTTAAAGATTTAATTGGGGAATTGGGGAAGGGGACCAGCCAAGTTGTTGTTCTTCAATTTTCGTTGTGGAGGGCGCCAGTCGCCATCTGGCTTCCCGTCGGCAACTTGTGGCCTCTAAGCTCAAGGTGCTGTGTTCAATCTTTAGTTGCAGTTGGGCGTAGCCACCATCCCATGCGGGAGTCAAACCAGCAGCCTTGCTGTTAGGAGCGCATGCCCTATCCACTGAGCCATCTGGGTGGCAGCTCAGCTCAAGGAGCTGAGTTCAGTCTTAGTTGCGGGTGGGCATAGCTCACCATTGAACAGGCAGTCTTGTTGTTACACCAGCGGAGCCATCCTGCCACCTTGTTGGCAGCTCAGTGACAGCTCAGCTCGGGTGCAGCATCACTGGCCCATGTGGGATCCAAACCGGCAGCCCTGTTGCTTAGAGCTCACGCTCTTAAGCCAACTCTTAACCAACTGAGCCACTCGGCCGGCCCACAGCATACTTTTGTATTCATTATCTGAACGAATCCTAACAACTCTGTCAGTTAGGTATTAACATTATGAACATGAAGGAATTAAGAAAAAAACGGAAGCTCAAAGAGATTAAAATAACATGCTAAAGGTCACACAGTCACCTGTAAACAGCAGAACCAAAACGGAAATACAAGTCATCTAACTTCAAGTGCAGAGATTTTCCTTGAATATTTTAGAGGATGTAGCATGAGCAAAAATATGGACTGTTGGCTAAGCCTTGTTTATTTAGGGAAGGGTGAGTAGGATGATGAGGATAGAGAAAAAGTATATGGAGATATGGTAGGGGATTAGAGGAAAGGTACTTTTGAGACCAGATCATAAAGAGCCACAAATTTGTGGCTTAAAAGTATAGACATTCTAATGTAATGGAAAGCCAACACAGGTTTCTGAAAAGAAAAAAACAAAACAAAACATGATCTGACTGGTGCTTTAGAAAGAGAATGCAGGCAATAGTGTAAAACAGTGGTTCTCAACCTGTGGGTTGCGACCCTTTTGGGGGTCAAACGATCCTTTCACAGGGGTCGCCTAAGACCATCGGAAAACAAAAATATATTTACATTACAATTCATAACTGTAGCAAAATTAACAGTTATAGAGTAGCAACGAAAGTAATTTTATGGTTGGGGGTCACCACAACATGAGGAACTGTATTAAGGGGTCGCAGCATTAGGAAGGTTGAGAACCGCTGGTGTAAAAGATAATTTAGAAAGAGAAAGTGGAAGCAGAAAGAGCAGTTGGTTTACGTGAGAATAATGAGGGCTTGAATTAGGACAGTGGCCATGGCGACAGATTAAAAACTACCAGTATTGGGGCTGGCTGAGTGGCTCAGTTGGTTAAGAGCGCAAGCTCTGAGCAACAGGGTCACTGGTTCGATTCCCACATGGGTCGGTGAGCGGCGCCTGAGCTGAGCTGCCGATGAGCTGCCAACAGACAGGAGGATGGGCTCAGCTGGTGAAAGCAGGTGCTCCTAACAAGGTTGCAGGTTCAACTCCTGCATTGGATGGTGGGCTATGCCCACCTGCAACTGAGATTGAACACGGCACCTTGAGCTGAATGGCCGTGAGCTGCCAACGGGCAGCCGGATGGTGACTGGACTTGGAGCTGAGCTAGCTGCACCCTCCACAACTAAGATTCAAGGACAACAACTTGGCTGTTCCCCTTCCCCAATTCCCCAATAAAATCTTAAAAAAAAGTTTATTATGGACATTTCAAACATACACAGAAGTAGATACACTAATATAATAAATAGTATAAGGACCCCCATGCATCCAACACTTGCTTTAATGATCAACATTTTACTCATCTTGTTTTATCAATCTTCCCACTTTTACATATTTGCTCACTTTTGCTTGAGCATGTAAAGCAAGACCTGAACACCATTGATTGTATCTGTAAATACTCTCTCTATACATCTCCAACTAATAAACCCTCTTTTAAATATACTACCACACCATTATCACACCTAAAAATACAATTTGCATGATCTAATATCTAATTCATATTCTAATACCCTGATTATCTAAAAGTGTCATTTTAAAGTTGGACTACTATGAAAACTTGTAAGCCTTTTGATATTTATTAGCACTTTACTGTACTAATTACTTGAGATACCAAAATAAATGACATTTCTTATGTTATAATCTATTTTCAGTATTTGAAAGCCATAATGAGCCTTTTAACATATATCAGATTATGCCATTCTCTTAAAAAACCCTCCATTAACTTCCATGGTTCTCAGAACAGCCTAAGTCCTTGCAATGGCCTACACGTTATGACTGCCCCATCCAATCTCTAAAACTTCCCTTTCTATTACTCCCCCATAGCTTACTGGCTCCAGCTACCCAGGCCTCAATGCTGTTTCTTGAATACACCAGAACTCCTGCCATATAGCAGTTTCACTTGCTGTTTACTCTACCTAGAATACTCTTTTCCTCCAGATAGCCATAAGATCACTCCCTCACCTCCTTCAGATTTTGCTCAAATGACAACATCTTGGTTAAGCTTTGCTTGTACACATTATTTACTCCCTGTGATTCCACTTTATCTGCTTTATTTTATCCATGAAATGTATCATCTTCTAACATATTACAAAATTAACTTATTTTGTTTCTGTCTCCAACTACTAGAATTTAAACTTTATAACAACAGATATTTGTGTCTCTTTTGTTCACTACTATATTCCCGATTCCTAGAGCAGTGTTTAATACATAGCAGGCACTCAACAAATCTTTGTGGACTAAATGAAGACATGGTGCCAATACCTTAAGATGCCAACTAGCAGAGCATAATGGTTAAGAGCATAAGCTCTAGAGACAGATCAGAGCGGGGTTCTAATATCAACTGCGTGAGTTACTTAACATCTCTAAGCCTTCTTGTCTTCATTGGTGAAACAGAGTTCTTAATAGTATTTCACAACAGTATCAGGACTATTGTGAGGTTAAATGAGATAAGACGTAAAGTGCAGTTAGCAAAGTACATGGCACATAGTAAGGACACATAAAATGTTAGCTGCTGTTACATAAATTGATATAGTATAGTAAATGCTTTTAACAGAAATATGGGCAAAGTACCATGGGAACAGTGAGGGAGGATATGAGTAAGAATGCATTAAGCAAAGCAAGGAATGCTTCAGTGAGGAGACCTGAGTTTGAAAATGAATTTGCCGGGCAAAGGGAAACAGCATGTGTAAATACATGGAATCCACGGAAGGCCTGACCACTTTTGTTGGGGCAATAATGAACAACAGAGTGGCTTAGAATATAAGGTTTGTGAGAGGGAAGGGTGGGAAATAACAATGAGAGCTGTGGTCAGGCTGATCTCTGAAAGGCTGAGTCAAGCTAGGGAATTTGACTTGATTCAACAGAAAAAAGAGCGCCAAAAGAAGTGCTTAAACAGGAGGGTAACATGATCAGATTTGTTTTATAGGAAAGCAATTCTGCCGGGAGTGTGGATGAAAGACTGGAATCTGGGAAAAGAACTCTAATGGCCCAGGTAAGAGATAAAGCCTGGATTATAGCAGTGGAAATGAAAGGAATGGCCAGATTCCAGAGACATTTCTGAGATCAAGTTGGCAGGATGTGGTAAATGAGCAGATATCGAAGGGAGAGAAGAGAGTAAAAAGTGATCACAGTTTCTAACTCAGGAGATGGTATGGGTGTTAAACAAGGAACTGACATTGAGTACTGTCAAAGGAGTGGTTTTCTCGGGAAAAGGATACATACTTAATTCTGTTTTGAACATATATTAATCATGGTTGATCTCTGCCTTCGTCCATGCAGAGGTCCTTGGCATGCACTGTCTACCACATCTTTATATTTTCAGTGCCTAACACACTGTAGACATTTAATAACTGTTTGTTGACTAAACCAAGTCTAAACCAGTGCATATTTTTTTTTTGTTTAGAAATTTTAATGGGGAACAGTGTGTTTTTCTAGGACCCATCAGCTCCAAGTCAAGTAGTTGTCTTCAATCTAGTTGTAGGGGGTGCAGCTCCTTGGCCCATGTGGGAATCCAACCGGCAACCTTGGTGTTATGAGCCTGCACTCTAACCACCTGAACTAACTGGCCACCCCCAAACCAATGTGTATTTTTAATAAAATGCTGCATATGTAGAATTTCACAAAAATTACCTCTTACTCTTTACAGTTAACTCTCTTCATCCAA